TGGTTAGAAAACATCCCTCCTCCTTTCAGACATACTTGCTTCCCATATCTGTTCCTGTAGCTGCAGAAGACAGAGATCAGGTTGGCACAGAGCATTTGGCAGTGTCACAGACACAAAATCCATGGCCACATTATCGCAAGGTGGGCTTACACCAGCACTAAGGATCCCAACGGAGGCACGGACCCACTGCACGGTACTGTAGGTTACATAGAAAAGTCACACAAAAAGAGAATCCCTGCCTCAGAACTTGCAGTCAGGGGTTGAGGCAAAGCACGAGAGAGAAATAACTAGCTAAACCAGAATTTAGTCTAGGCTGCAGTGGACAGATACGCACTGCTGAATTAACATTAAAGGTGCTCTTAGTAGTGAAAAGTGCTTGCCGGATGAACTAGGCTAGATAGGGGCAAGTTACAGAGCTAGCAAAACTAGCAGGGGCATGAAGGGAGATAGAGACTTGTGCCTTGCTAGAGCAATTCCCTTGCCAGAGTCAATGGAGGTGTATGTGAGCATAACAGCAGAGTCAAAATGAAGTTATTTGTTGGAGATGTGGCTGAGAGATACTGGATTCAAAAGGGAGGTGGTGTGAGTGGAACAGACGTACCATCAACCTCCTGCAAGAGAAAGTGGAGAGCCAGGGGAGGCAGAGCACTGGGCAGTCAGCACTGCGGGCCAAGAAGGCAAGGCCAGCAATAATGTTTTAGACAGACATTTTGGGGTAAAGCTGGAAGTGCAATCTATCATTTAGTTTGAACTCTTTCAGGAGGCCTAAGTGTATTATCTAGTATTAGATAATTTAAGAAGACTAGTGAGTAATCAGTGGGGATAGCATTAGATATCACTATGAGTAGAACTTCAACCAATAAAGAAACCAATAGAGGCAACATGTGTTGACTGAGCTTTTAGATAGGCTAATCAGAACTTCAAAGGCCAGAAAACTTTGGGGCTTTTCTCAAGTCACAAAAACAGTTTAAGTACAAACTAACCAACAGCTATGTTTACATTACCCAGATTAAGATTAGATGGCATGAATCATATCTAATTGTTTTACATAGATTAGGCTTATTTTCCTAGTGACTAAGGTAACAGAAGCAGGACTGTGCACTCAACCTGCACCTGGGGAAAGGTTTCATCTGCAGATATTCTGCAGCCTTGCCTGAATTCCTTGTCATTGTTCTAGGAAATAACTTTTACATTTATTTAAGAACATTTATTTTTGTTTTCATTTTATATCCCTGTAATCTCTGGTTTCATATCATTGTCACACAAATTTCCTGTGCCATATCATTAGCACGTTGTTCCTTATTTACTCATTGTACTGAGTGCACAACATACCAGGTAAAGCTCCTTCTATCTATCGCTGTAAAAGCCTGTCTCTGGGGTGACTTCCCTGAACTCTCTGGTTCACAGTGACTACGTGGGATAAACAGAAGAAAAGAGTCACTGCATTCAAGGTGCAAGACAAGGACCAGGAAATTGCTTTGCAGGGCTATAAGGTTGGTTGTTTGAGATGGTATAAAAGGAGAAGTCTCTTCCTTTTATACCTCCTGCACTGTTAGGTAGGAAGAGGTCCAAAGGTGTGATGTCCAGAGCTGTCAGTGGGACTGAGGCCAGAAGCTCATCCACTCCCAGCGTCAGGCTGTATTTCACAGGAGATACAATCTGTCTGAACCAATAAACCTCTGCAAAGCAAAGCAACACTTTGCTTTATACTCCATACCTGTGATGCTTTGCAAAGTCAACTCCACAATTGCCAGATGTCTTCTTGCAAGATCTCAGACCTTTCCCTCCCACTTTTTTGTAATCAAACCTTATTACATTTATCACAGGGAAAACCATGCTCCTGAGAAGCCTCAAGCAGAACTAAATGGGAAAGAGCAAGAGGAGTACTCTTTCCGGCTACCAGAGCTAAGCTGCTTTCTGCCTTAGTCATCCTCAATGTGAGCGCTCGTCTCTGGTCTTCCTGTTTCCTACCTTTCCGTTCTACGCTAGATTTAATGTCTAAACAAAATACTCTTTGTGCTGCCTCTGGTGACATGCTGACTTCTCTTTAAATCTGTTTACAGGCTCACCATCCCTTCTGGCATCAAATCCTCACCTTCGCTTTCAAGCTTCCACACGCCACGACACCCTCCTGCTTTCCTTCTCTCATTTCCCTTGACTTCTTTCACTCATTGTCCCTGGTTTTCTTTTGTTGATTCTCCTTACAGTGCTTTCTCGCCTTGTACTTATTTGCCCAACACAAACTCATGTTCCTCTTTTACTCACGTTACAATCAAATTCCACCAAAACATGGACTGTCACTGGACACTGATGCACTAGCTTACAGCACTGAGCAAACTATCGATGGTTAAATGACAATGAGGGGAGAGGACAATAGAAAGGATGGGAAGGGGGAAATGGTTAAATAAAGGGTGAGAGAGAGTATTGTCAGTAAGCAATAACCATGCAACATGAACAGAACCTGGGAGAAGTTGAACTTTCAGAGTAGGAGGAGGTAGCGGATGTTAAGGAGAGTGTAGATACTGATTCAGAAGTGGATACTTAATTTAAAAGAAAAGGACAAGAATACAAAAATTAATCTGTTTTCATATTAATAAACTTGAAGTTACTAATAGGGTCAAAAAGATTGTCAGCAACCTTTGCCAGCTTTACGCTGGTAATATATGACTATTTAGAACAGTTTCTTAACACTCCCCATAAAAATGGGAACAGCGTCCTTTTTTCTGACAAAATGTCCCATTGGGGTGAAAGAAATTAAGGACAGTGAGCTGCCAGTTTAGGATCTAATTCTCATGACTAATTACACAGCTATCTTCTGTTTTTCCTATATGTACTTCTAGATGGGGGACACTGGTGTGAAGTTTATTCCTAGAAGGGCATTCATTGTGACTCTCGCTACACCCAGACACTGCACCTGGCACCTTCCCTCTGCCTCACTCACCCCATGAGAGAGAAAATCCACTGGCCTATTTTAAGGTCATGGCTCAGGAAGGCATTCTTGCCACATTTTTAATGTATAACTCAGAAGGATGTTAGCACTGTACGTTTTTTAATCTCTAAGTTAATACAGCACAAAATTATATTAAAAGACCATTATGTTGGAAGGCACAGCGAGGTTCGGAAATGTTGGATTGAAGTTGCCTGCACATCCTGACTGCTGAACTGCATCATGATACAGTCTTTAGCTACACGACTGCACACTCGCCCTCTGAGCATCTAGACAATATTTCTTTGTCTTCATTATTCAGTGTGGCCCAGTCCCTATTTCCTGCACACTACTCAAAACCTGTGTTGAACACAGAATTATTAATTTTATAAAGGTTTTCTTCATGGCATTATCTTGATTCTTTATAAACAGCCATGAGTTTGATTTCTCAGTGACCATCTGAGGTGAAGGGATGGTGTCACCCCCATATTACAGATGGGGAACTGAGGCAAGAGTGTTAAAGGTGTGCACTGCATGTAGGAGATGCAGCAGAGAAGGCTGGCACTTGAATTTTCGAAGTCTTGAGTACAACACAGACCTTAATGATCCAAAGAAGATCTCTACTGGCTTTAGACACATCTTTGAGCATTGCCTGAAAATCAGTTTCCTCATTAAGAAAAAGCAGAACATGCAACACATCAATGACCATATCGCAAACCTCTGCTGCTTCCATGTCTAATCTAAAGTCTGCGGCTTGTCATTCTCTGTGGGAACTGAGAACAGGCAAGTGAGGTGACATTCATTCTGCCAGCAGGTTTTGCAAGCATTTATTATGCAAAGCGGATTGGTGAGATGACAGTCCTCAGTTGAAGCCCGAGTTTTGCAAGGAAATGTATTTAGTGGTCACAGACCCTTAACCTCCAAGCTCTACTCTTCTGCAGCCAGATTTTTTCTGCCCTTACGCTTGCCCTGTTCCTACCTCTCACATACCTGTTTCTGCTGTGTGCCTTCATCCCTATGTTTCCCCATGGGCTCCTTATCCCGAATGCTCCCTTTTCTCACTGCCTCCCCCTTTTTGACTCTACATTCTCACCTGCCTTTTCCAGGCTCCTAGTGCCTGCTGTGTTTCAGCTCCCAGTTCTCTGCTGCCTCCTATTCCTGGCCTCTTTGCTCAGCCAGCCCTCAAATGCTTGGTTTACAGCTCCCATGCCCAGTTTTAAGCCCCATGAATTTCTCAACAGATTTCTTCTGCAGTCCGGCACAGCTCCTGCTCAGTGGTTTATCCCTTCTACACCCAGATTTGAGAAAAGAGAGTCCAGTTTCCATTCCCAGTTTCCACTTCCAAATGTGGTGCCACAGAAACTCTTGGCAAGATATGAAGTTTGGGGTATGTACAAGGTGTACAGGTCATATAGATAAACACTGGATCAATATACAACATCTCAGCTTTCCCTTCAAATTCTTTTCTCACTCTTGCTGACAACTGATATGAACAGATATACCTGTTGGAGCAGAGTCCCATGGCTGACTAACAAAAAGGCAAGGGGAAAGCAGATGTGCTCTCACAACCAAAAAATATTTAAGAAAACCCTGGAACCCTCCCAGGCTTACAGTCGTCCTGCTGCACACTTGGTTCAAATCCTCCTTGGTCCTATCTGCATAAGTGTGGACTGATTGCAGGACTGATATGTGTACTATTTGCATTTGGCAAGAGTTCAACATTTGAAACACTACAAAGCAGTCTCCATTTCTGCGCTTCCCTGGTGTTCCTCAGACCGCTAGATGGCAGTTCCCCATTTACAAAAGAGGGCTCTCGTTACCTGTTTGCTCCTGCCCAGCAGCTGTGTCAAGCACAGTTGAGGCACGCATCTGCCTTTGCATGTTGACTGCAACACAGACTTCTTGTGGAGCTGTCAACAAGAGTGGCTCTGGGCCAGCGTCCTACGTGAGGGATACACAGCTTTGCACTTTTAAATGATGACAGAAGAAATTTCCATAAGCACCCTGAAGGGTGCTAAATACTAAGCACAGGCCTTATCGACAAGAGAGGTTCTCCACGTCATGTCTTACTCACCCAGAATTTTACGAGGAAGAAAGCATTTTGGGGCCCCTTCCCAAACAGTTCCTTTAGACCGCCCTTCTTTTCAGGAAATTTGTCATAAATCTGACGAATGTCCACCGATTCAAGCAACGGGTCACTGTAAGAATGGTTAGCGTGTCCAATGTGTACGAAGAGGTGTTTATTGTACTGCAAGAAAGAAACAGGAAAATCAGTGCTGTACAAAAAGAACAGAGGTTTATTAAGGCATGGGTCTGCATGTGCCCCTGTGGAGGGTAGTGCGCTTTGATGGATTAAATGACTCGCACATTACTCCTGGGACTATGATTTTCTGCAGTATGATTTCCATGAACAACTTAGTGCTTGTGTAGTAGCCCCCTGTGAACAAGGGTCAACATCAAAAAACCCGTGTCCCTACTGCAAACCACAAAACATGGTCATCTTCAAGGGAGTAATTTACACTGAAAGACCCAGTGGCAGCACGGTGATAAAGAGCCTTTCGCAGAGCATAATGAGATGAATATGCTCACAAGGAAAGCCTATTTCTGCCTCTTTAAACCATGCCTTTTAATGTCCCGTGTCCTCAGAGCCTGAATTTCTGCTAGTGCCACAAAGCCCACACATAACACACATCCTGTTTGTCTATTAAAAAACCCCAAACCTCAAACTATAGCATATGCTAATGCCCCTTAACTAAAAGAGATGGAGGGGATTTTCTTTTAACTCCAGAATGACAATAACGAGAAAGCCAGTTACTCTGTGTTGCCGTTACTATAGAAGTGGTCCTCATTGCATGTCCTCCAGTATTTTGACCCATGTAATATTGAAGAGCCAAACTTTTATCACTTCCCTTGGGAGCTAGCTCTGTAGATGATGGCCATCTCTGCCAAAACACATCCAGCTTCAATTTCCTATTTCTTAACTTCATCCCATTGCACCTCATTATAATCAAAGGTATCACCTCAGCAACCCCTTTCCTGCCTTGGGGAAACCCTTGGCCCAGTGAAGTCCACAGCAGCCCCCGACTGAGTCCAATATGGCCTTTGAGGGGCTGCCGTTTCTCCAAGACAAGAGCACCTTCCAGCACCTGAAATGAAAGCGGAAGGACAAACCCCGAATACCCTCCGCTAGTCAATCAGCAGCTCACAGTGTCTTGTGAGCAGACTGAAGGAGCTCAAGAGTGGCAGGATTAAGCACTGGGGGTTTTAACCATGCAGATCACAAAACATTTTGCTAACTCAATTAAAGGAAAGCTGATATGCAGTCAATGAACACTAGAAAACCCTGTCATATTGAACAGATGCTGTATATAAGGGGCAATTCCCAAAAGCTAAGCACAAATAAAATATTTAAAACCCCAAAGCAGACCTCATTTAAGCTATTTTGTTTACAATCTACCTGCCGAATGAACAAATTGAAATGACAAATCTAAATTAATTGGACATCCACTCAGAGCCTTCCTTTGGTGTAAGCAGAGTCTTCCCTAGCAGATGTCCAAAACTCTGGGGAAAAGGAAATGGACTGGCTAGATTTCTGCACTTAGGAAATTAAATTGAAATCTATTTAAAAATCATCTAGCATAGTGAAATCTGAATTTAGAATCAGAGAACATTCATCTGTGTATGGGGCCAAAAATGAGATACGTTCCATGCTTTTTACAGGGTTGTATTTCTTTTTTAATTCTGTGGAAGGAAAAAGGAAAGCATAACACTTTGTCAAGGTGTTTGCATGAGCAAGTCCAAGTCTGAGAGTACCAATTGCACAGCTTTTCCTTGCAGCCCTCTTTCAAAAGAATGCCATCCCAGCTTCTTCTGTGCACAAGTGGAAAACTTGCCTAGCCTTTACTTAGTACATGTGGAGCCCAAAAAGGGCAGAGCTGATCCAAAGAAGCTGTTTCTGCCTTGAAGAGGAAGACAGGCATGGCAGAGAAATAAATGGGCGGTGAGGAGCTGAATGCATGCATGCAGGAGTGAGTGTGCCCATGAACGTGTACCAGCTAGCCCTCACCCAGCACTGGTCTAGCTTGCACGCTGATCATTTACACGTGGTACGGGAAATCATTGTACTGGTTGGCACCCATGAGTGACTACCATAATAGTGTCCACGGTCAGATTTAGCATGTTACTTTACGCAGTAGTGGCAAAAGTGGACTAAGGAGACATTTTAACATGACAAAACAAACAAAACAAAAAATGCAAAATAATATGAGAAAGCACCATGGCTCCAACTTTCAGTTTTCTAACACTGTTGTCACGTATTTGGCTTGCAGTACTGTGAGTAAATAACTAAAAGTCATGCTGAACATTTCTTACATATCTTGCTGCCTACTGAAAAACTTAGATCCCAGTAAAATGCATCAGTGCCCCATATACCTGGGAACTGCCAGGAACACAAGAAAGGGAGTCCAGAAACCTGCTGCTGTTGCTTTCCTAAGCTACTGGGGTGAAGTGCGGGAGGACGGGGCATGGACTGGGTCACCGAAGCCTATCTGTGATCAGGCAAACATCTCAATTTTTCAAGTAGAAAGATGAGAATTCTCCAGTAGAGGTAAGCACTTCAGCATTCTCTGAAAAATTAAGCCAAAACATTTCCCTTCCCCCAGTACCCCTGTAGCCTGCCTAGGAGTGCCCAGCAGTTGTGCTCTCCCTGGGGATCTGAGATGCCCCAAAGCATCTCTCTGCTCTCCCTCATTCAGTGTAAGGGCTTGAAAAACCATCCCCACCATTAGTGACCAGGTTATTATTTATTTTGGGATTGTTTCCTCTCAGTCTTCTCTGCTGGACTTGTTCCAGGTTGTACAAATAACCACATTTTTATAGGAACAGAGCTGAGGGCTCAGGTTCTCCTGTGCCCAGGAAAGTGTCCTCCCCAAAAGGGGGGTCTCTCTCCCAGGCCCAAAGGTGGCTATGGGGTGAAGGAGGAAGGAAGAGCTGTATTTTACAGTTTGGCAACTGCAAATTCCCAGACAATTCATATAGTGTACCTTATTCTGCAAATCAGGAAAATATACAATTGCTCAGATTCCAAACTTTAGTAAAAGCAAATACATTTATAGGAACATGGACCATGAAGTCTTAATTCCTTTTAAACATAAAAGCAAATTTAAAGGCAGCTGTAAAGCTACCACTGTTGTCTGCGGAGCTCACCAAAGTACCAGATGCTGCTGCAGCAAAATTTCCAAGCGGGTACAGTAGGACAGATGGCATGACATCACCTGACAACATTCTTAGGACAGAAATGTTTATTTTGATATTGTAATGTGTGATTATTTTCTCCTTATGTTGCTGCAATTCCTATGCTAAGTACAATCATTACTAACCTAATTAGATATGGCATACTTCTACGAAGTAACAAATGATAATATAATATTAGAAGCAGGGTAAATGGATACTGAAATGATCCCTATCATTTTTATACAAACATAATCCATGACAGGAATTTATGCATAGATAAAAGCAAAGAAGCTAAGTTTTATGCCTATATTTTTGAGCCCATTAGTGTCTGAACAGCATAAAAACATCCTCATTATATTGAGAATTCACTGTTCTTTTGGACTGAGTATTCCAGAGTCACTGAAGTACATTAAATGCTGAGGAATTTACTCATGCAACAGCATTTAAAGGATTTGCATCCAGCATTGGGGTAATAACGTGCTTTAGACACTGTAAACCATCCCAGGTCAAATCCTGTATTTTCTGAGGATAAAAACTACATAAAAATACAAAGAACATTTTCAGCTATGTCTTCAGCATCCGCATTACACGACATGCCCTGGAGATGGCCGCCTCTTACTGAGCTCCTTTCCTTAAAAAAATTCTAACTATCCAAAGAATGCAGTAAAGCCATGAAATATGACTGTTGTCAAATAATACCACGAGAAAAATTATAATCCACTTAGGAATTTAAAAGAACCAAGACAAATTGCCAATGGCAGGGGATGCAAGCATTTAAGCTGGTGCAGAACAAAGACAAATCACCTACATTTGTTTTATCAGCCAGGATATATATTTGTAACGGCTCTTCACCAATTTGGCGCTTGTATTCTAAGGCAACAGCCTTTCTGGTCCATGAAACAGAGGTTTGCAAATTGCTACAGCTCTCTGCTGCATCTCTGTGCTTCCCAGCCAAGCCTTGACAAGCCTGTAGAGGACCAAGTTTTTTATTAAACAGTGGTGGCCAAGATGCAGATGGCAGTGAAGCCAACCCTCTCACACTCTCGGTGTGGGCGAGCTGGGCATGCAGAGCTGCTGGGGTACCCGCTCCCTCAATGCTCCTGTCTGTCGGGGTTGCACAGCTCTACAAAGCCATAATGAGCATCATGCGGTGGGGCAAGTGGCTCCCTGGGCCCTGCTGAGGCTGGGTGACATGGATGCGGAGCAAGGTGGAGGGCAGGTGGCCCGAGAGAGGGCCCTCAGCAGCTGCTTCTGCAGGGATGACCTTGCTCATGGGCATAGCACCCTGACTGCAAGGGTGCTGTACCCTCCCGCTGCACCCAGGGGCGCGGCCATCATTTCACCCCCTTGAATTGCACTCACACGCCTGGGAGTCAACCCACAGGGGCGTGAGCGGTGTAAGCTCTTCTGCAAACACCCCTGGCCCTGCAGCAGGACAGCGAGCTGGTGGCTTGCTGGACCTTGCACACCCATGGCCTGGTTGAGCAGGAGAGGGAGGTGGCAGCATCCCGCTGCCTTGTCTGCCCTGCACGACTCAATAATAGCACCTTGCTAGCTGGGCTGCTTCATGAGATCTGTAGGTTCCTGCAAATTTCAAGCATAAAAACCACGAGGGTGAGGCCGCCTATATCATTACTTGCAGCAACAAATCCCTATGAGAAAATACCATGGGAAGAGGCTGGCAACTTGAATGGATCGTAGTCTTCTGTGTCCAAGGAAACTCCACCACACAAAGGAGAAGTACATTAAAAAGGCTCTGCTGCAGGTCTTCTCTCTCCCTGACACAGAGGCACAGCCTCTCAGCTCTCTTTGGACCGAATATATTCTGCACTGGAGGTCACAAGGACTACTGCTGCAGCTCAGAGGGACAGGTGAGCAGAAGGCAGGTGGGACAGCCTGACCTTTCGCTGAAATGAGAGAAAGCACTGCTCAACTGCTTGGCACCGTGCAGTGATTCCCTCAGCACCTCCACAGACTGGTCCAACCCATCTTTTAAAAATGTGCTGCTGCCTGTGC